AGGGAATTGGTCTTGCACATAAAGAGCTCATAAACGTATAACATTTACAACAATAACACAACACAACAAGTTCAATACCATAATACAAATCAACATTAAATAACATCCTAGGAAATGTCACATGGTTAATCAGGTAAACCCAACGGAAAGTAAAATATGGGACAGGTAGCCAGGGTATAGGCAGGAAAACAAAGATTTTGCCCTGCAAAAAAAATGCCAGTGTAACATAACCAAGGTGTGCTTTGCTTTTTCATGTTTTGCCGCATAATATTTTAAGAAATTTTGAACAACATTAACAACAGTCAGAGAAAAAGGGAGTTAACCTAAAAAACATTTTACATTCAAATGAGGGAAAACTGAAATGTTAGCAGCGTTGTCACTTAGTAACAAATTTATCTGCCTTTCTGGCTATATATTAAGAAAATGCCAGCGCTCACCTTTACCAAGAGCTGTTTAGTTGCAGTTGTGGGGTCTCAGGAGCGTATAGTGTGAGAAGAAGCAGTGCACTGTAGTCTGCCAGACAACAAATCAAACACACTTCTTTACTTGTCTGACGGAACTGAAGACAGAAGTAACCCTGATGTGCAACTTTGTTCCAAGGATGCAGTCACACAGTTGGTCAATCGAGTTTAACCTGATTGTCTCTATTTAGAGCAGAACTTGTTAATCGTCAAAAAATGTCAGGATTCCTTTCAGGGCATAAGGGCATAAGGAAAGAGATAGGACAGAGGATTTGGTTTGCAATCAACCTCTGAAATGATGGTTCTCTCGAACACTCCAGAAACATACAGTATCTTCAAGTCACTTTCCTCCCGATCAGCTGAGATCTATGTTACACAATAGAAACAAATTATTGTGAATAAGTAAGTGCAACATAAGTGTCTGTTTTATTTACAGATGAGACAGGTTTATTTAAAGTTTTCGCTCCAATAGAATCAATCATTTCAACCAATATAATCAATCAAAAATATAAACCAATAGGACAGTTCATATGTAATGACTAGAGGATTTGAATGGATTGAAAGAAAGCATTCTAGCAAACACTTGTAAGCCCTAGAGTTTTTACAGGTGAAAAAGCATGTACCGTAGGCAGGATGTCTGACAACTTGGGTGCAGGGGTGTCGCTGGTAGACCTTCACATTCCCTGTTAGGCCCTGCGTTTTTCACACAGCTCCTTGAGGAAAGCAAGAAGCAATCCCAGACTCGAAGCAGCAACCTCTGGACTTTTCTAGGTCTCAGCTTAAACAGAGCAACTCATCTACCTGATAGAATTGTGAGCCTGGTGAATGTGCTGCTTTTAACAGTGACAAGAAAGATGGCAAATTTAACTTTAAATGGGATTTAAATAATAGATATATACATTTACATTTTAATGTATCTAGCTACAAAGTACATAATCCTTAATTTATATATGTAATATTTTGTATTCTACTTTTTATTGCCATAAAAACAGTGACAGTAGAAAGAACAGAAACAACATAATATAGCTGGAATCATTGGTATGCAGACCTGGTAGTGCGAGCATGTCATTCTGTCACAGGCCACTGTGAAAATTCATCCAATAAGCAGGAAGGAGAATTTCAGTATCTATATCACAGGGAGGATTTGGTAATTAATTACAACTGTCTACTTATTTAGGATGTAGTTTTCACTTCCTCTGAGTGCAGCAGGATTTTTATGACGCGTGAATGGGTTCTGTTAAAATATACCTGAACAAAGCTAGTCTACACAGCACCACTGACAAGACTGTCCAGCTTGGTTTGTGTGTGATTTGTTTTCTGTTCTCCATCAGAATGGTATATAAAAGCTACTGTGAGAATTGCTTAGATATGTCTCCTGGTACTGTAGTCTGTATACAGTTGTTTAAATAATTAATTGCTCTTTACTGTATTTCATAGCGTTCTCTGCTTACTTTGCCATTGCTCTCTCCTTTGCTCTCGTCACTTTGCCTTCCAGGCAGAAATCAGCCTGAGTATTGGCCTAGTGTATATTATAGAGATGCTGTCTTCCTAAGAACCCAGACGTGTTTTGTCTCTTCGCAGGGCATCTTCTGCCCCTTGCAGGGCAGACACAGACATACTCACACACATCGGGGATAATCTTCCCAGATGCCAATTAACCTACCAATATATCTTTGGATTGTGGAAGGAAACCCACATGAACATTCAAACTCCACACAGAGAGCACTCCAGGTCCAGTATTGCACCCAGGTCCCCATTGCTGTGAGGCAGCAGTGCTAACCCCAGCGCCGCCATCCTACACTAGACACACAATCAGATGCACCTTTCTCTGCCTGCTGTAGTTCAGTTGAAAGAGAAATGTAGAAGCTTCCTTGTGTATTTGGGGTTCATTATTCTGAAACCTTCTACCTTTCTATATAAACGTATGGTTTCTCTGGCTAGTTTCAATTCTTTGGTTAAGACTCTCATTTACAAGTTAGCTTCTTATTCTCAGCTATTAATGTCTACCTTTAACTCTATCTTGAGATTTAACACATTAGGTGTTTTTTAAATGTAATTTCTAATTCTACATCTAATTATAATGTATTCTATTATCTCACACTTCTAATTGTTATGACTTCTATTTATAAATGTAATTATAATTTTATCATGCTTGGTTATAGTTCTATTTCTCTATTAAGCACATGAATGCTTGAGCATCAAAGGTGCATGATGATTTAATGAACCAACAAATGTATGAAAATCCGGACATCTGTGAACATCTGTTGGAGCGATACTTTGATGTGTTTCAGCCTTCATTTCCCCAGGAGATTAATGCCCTACAACTTGAGGAATAGTAAAATGGGTATGACTAATTAATTAATCAAATGCCTATATTTTGTGATTATGGGTTAGATGAAAATGTAAAAAATACCACCATTAAATCTTTGAAACTGCAAAGCATTAAACCCACAATAAGGACTGGGTGGATTCGGATTCTGGGTGGGAACACACCTGTTGTTACTTTACATAAAGTATTATGGTCACTCTGAATTGACTCATCTGCGTGATAAAGGGTTAAAAAAAACACGTTCTGCCCAGATTAAGATGTAATGACTCAAGTGGAAAGGATAACTGTTGGGCAATACACGTGTAAACAGTACATGTCAAACTGGATATCTTGCACAATGTTTTCTTCACAGTCTTTGAAAGAATGAAATATGCCATGTTCTACAAAAGGATTTTGAGGTGCTTGTGACAGATAGGTTTAGTGACTGGTTCAATAGAAGAACAGTTTAACATCACAATGCAATGTGCTCATTGACAGAATTCAGATGGAACTGATAGCTACATGGAGTGAAAGGTGTGTCTGCCTGATGTGAGAAGAGGCTTTATGGGTTTTTACTTTTTCAGCTGGGGAAAGAAGAAGCATTTTGTTTCCCCTTCGCACACCCTAAGATTACATCCAAATAGGCTCTTGAAGATATCTGGATCTCTCATGATTGTAAGCCCCTCCTCTTAAGGACACTCCGGCTCTTTCTCGTTTGTCCTGATGTTTTGCACCTGCCTCCTGTTCCAGCCCCTCCCTTCAAAAGCCAGACACTCCCACCATTCTAGGCTCCGCTTTGGAAGATGGACACCTAGATGCCCGCCTACCAGTGAGTCCAGGAGGGGCTCGACGGCATAGGCTATCTGGGTCCGGGGTTTGTTGCGCCTGGCCCCCGTTTCCCCTTTTTATTCCTCCTCCCTGCACCGGATCCTGCTCCAGTTTTTAAACTCTGTCATGTCTGTCTAGAATAAATTACCCGGCTCTGGACTTTTGATCACTTATGGATTACCCTACGGACTCCCTTTGGACATGTTTGCCTTGGTCACGCCGCCCCGAGCACCAGGGTACTGTCGACACGTCTTATAGTTGCTTCTGATCTGTGGAATAATTAAGTCCATAAGGAAGGTTACAAACCAAAAGGAGGCCATTCTGTACATCTAGTTCATTTTGTTAGTATCCTGTTGATTCAAGAATCTCATCCAGCCATATCTCAGAGAAAGCCAAGGTATCAGCTTGAACAGCACGGCTGTGTGAAGAGAATGTTCCCCACTCCCACACACCTTTGTGTAAAGTAATGTTTCCAGTTCTCAGTTTGAAATGCACTTCAGCGTAGTTTTCACTATGTCCTCTGGGTTGTGCTGCAGTGTTTATTCTAAATGATTCTTACTCTGTTTCCCTTCTATTCCAGCCTAAGTTAAAACCTTCCTACCAGTTCTGTCAGTAATACAGTTCAGGATTCAGGGGTAAATTCTGGTTCAGGGACAAATTCAGTTCCCTTGCGAGCTTCTGCCTCTATTGCTGTTGTTGTGCAGCAACCTTAATTAGCAGTGCAGCAGGACTCTGTTTCCTTAAGTGGTTCTTTAAAATATTCACCAAAAACATATCTACAGTACATTTACACTGTGCACTTTGGAAGTACAATGGAAATCTACAGAACTACTCTATATAAAGGCCTGTCACTTTTTCCCCTATGTTACAAAAACACACTTTTAGAAAGTAAGACTACTAGAATATTGTCACACCTGCAAGGTAGTGGCTACAAGCAAGTCTAACTACCAGTGATTATGAGTCGAGTTGGTACACATTGTTGAAAACAAAGACAGCAGGAATGTGATATTCATGACAGGGTTGCAAGCTACTGTAGATGTTTCTTCTCAGGGCAAGCCACAAAAGGTGTTGACTTGAATTTGTACTACTACATCCGAATGACAGGTGGAGCCATTGGACTTACTCACTGGGGAGAAGTGTGTTGTACAGATGGTGAACCTCATGCTACTCTTGTGCCCACTGTGAAATATGGAGGTAGGAGATTGGTTATTAAAGATTTCAAGAAGGAAATCTCCTCAGTGGTATTCTTTACAGTTGTATTCACTGTTAAAGCACTCACATGGCCTTCAGTTCGCTTTCTCTGACATGCTCTCTTGATTAAAAGGGTACTTTAAGGAAGCAGATTCACTCAAAGATGCAATTAGGTCCACATTAAGTCATAATAAAAATCCTAAAATGTAATATGTAATCAAGAAGACTTTACCTCCACATGTCAACACAAAGAAACACATCTGCCACATACGATACACTACAGATTAAGTGGAGTAAAGCACACTAACAGTTTTCATTTCATATCCAATAAAACAGACATTTAAGGCTACTTTATTTGCCTAAATTCTATTGTGATCCACAAAGAATGTGACTACCGAAAATTTGTAGCCAATTAAGAATATACTGTACATAGCTCTACACAAATCATGACAATGACAGCACAACTGTTGTTTAAGACCTGCTCCATGAATTAAATGGAAAGCCATTTCAATTACTTTTTTATTGAAAGTGTCTGAAAATACTGTCTCCCTTGTTGGCTTGACAACATCAGTAATTGTAATAGGTGATGAAAATTAGTGAAAATAAATAGCAAACTAATTCAGGAAAATCAAATCAGCTTAAGTATCCTCAGTAAACAGTGGATTGTCAAGACGGGCAAGAGAATTGCGAGCTATTGCGAATTTTCACTGCTCCCATCTGGGGGACATCTCTGTGTCCCACAGACTTAAGAAGTCATTCATCCTCCCATGCAATATCACCCTCAAAACTCTGTAAAATAACGGCCTTATCTCCTGTAATACTACTGTACTGTCTTCTCTGTTGGTAATTTTCATCTTCCTTGTTGTATTGTTGTACTGGATTTTTTTGTCAAACAAATTTCCCCAAAGGATAAAGAAGCTTGAACTTAATTGAATTCCTCTACCCTAAGAGCAATCCTAGCCATACGCTATCGGTATACAGGGTGTGCTATATTCCATATAAAGTGGAGAAACATTTTTAGATACTGTACATAAAAGATTCATCTTCTTGTATCATTTACAGAAGTGTCTTTTTCCATAGCGTTTTCCTGCAGCTCTCCTTTTCCCCAGAGAGAACAATAGGCTGTGTGCATCTGTCTTCCGGGTGTGTGAAGCTGTGGGGCTGGAGTGGAGAAGTGAAGGGCTACTGTTGGATGGATTAAGAGAGGTGCTCGCTCTTTTCGTTGGAGAGCGGGAGGAAGCCCGCGGTGAGGGTGGAGGCATGGGAGTTGGTGAAGGTCAGCGACTGGTTGCGTCTCTTGATTTCCCGGGAGATCTGACACCAGGATAAGGGGTAGCAGCAGCAGCCATAGAAGCAGTCGCTGTAGATATTTCCCTGTCAGAGCGAAAGGGTTCACAGTTTTTTACATTGGGTGCATTCTTCTAATTTAACATGAATTAACTGCATTTTTTTCACAGCTGTTCCTAAAGAAAACCAACATAATAACACATCTTTCTTCAAAAGCTGATTTGTAGAACCATCAAGGTTCTACATTAGTAAATATCTGTAATAGTTTTTTTTCCTTTACAAAAACAGGTTTCAAGGTAAAAAAAAGTTTATTGTGGAAGTGGGGAAAAAATATAGACTGTGGCGTTTTTATTGTGCCTGCTTTGAAACAGAGGGTGATTTCAACACACTGTTCCAAAGAGTTCCAGAAAAATGTGTGAAAAGGTTACAGCTGTGTTTTTACTGGCCTGTGCATGCCAACACAGAGCACGGAACTCTAAACCATATCAGCACTTTAGAATCTTGCTCATTGTTTGGTCACCCTACTCTTTATTGAGTAGATTTAAATTTCATACAAAAAGTGAAGTTTGCAGAAAAGAACCTTCATGAATCCCAAACCAGTCTTTAATATAATAAGTAGTAATATCCTTTTGCCATACTGTTATGGATGGTGAATCATTAGTGTGTGGTGTATTGGCAGACGTTTACCACTTGTTGTCGCCAAAGAAACATATTACTAAACCAGGCTTCAAAAACCAATGGTTTTGGCACAGACACTAAGCAGGAGAATAGGGGAATAGTTCCTCATCTCACAGCATAGAGAGAAGCAGGTATTGTAGATAAGGTCTAAACTATGCTTCATTGAATAAAGCCTATGCTACTACCTCTATATGTTAAAGATCAATCACAGAGATGCCAATAAAGAAATAGGTACTGCCCACGAGGATGGCACAACACAAATATCTGTTAGGATTCCTTGTCTATTTCATAAACAAACTGCCAATGAGCTGACATACACAGGTGACAACACAGAGCCTAAAAATACAAAGGGAGTGACTGTTTGCCTTCGTCTATACTGTAAACTGTCCCCAAGACAATGTAAATACAGGGCTTCCATCTTATGTGTTAATTTAGGGCAAGGGTTACTAACCGAGATTCTGGACACTGTATCAGCTGGATTTCATTCCAGTTAAACTCTTTCTCCAGTGCTAAACAATGACTTAATCTGCTTGTCTGTTTAGATTTGTTTCATTGTTCGGTCTCGAGTTCCTAAATGACCTACTTTAAGGGTATTGTTTCTGATATTTCCAGAATACACAGCTTTACCCACTTTTACGATTGTAGCCTGGGAGCTGAACCTATACATTTAAACATTTAACTGAACTCTTCCATACTTAACAAGTAATTTATTAGGGTTGTGATGGTCTGTTTGTAATAGATACAGCTAGTGTATGTACATATTTATTGGCTAATGCACAGTGCTACTGTAGGTGCACATTATTATATGGGGATTGAAGGGTACAGTACTGCACTTATTAGTTACCCCTTGTGTTTAATATTTTTCTAAGATCTTGAATATTATTTAATTGTCTTACTGGTGGTGCAGTGGTTGGGGCCCTGGGCTCAATTCCAGACCTGAGGTGCTATCTGTGTGGAGCTTGTATGTCCTCCCCGTGTTCGCTTGGGTTTTCCCCAGGTGCTCCGGTTTCCTCCCACAGTTCAATGACATAAGGGAGGTTAACTGGCTTCTGGGAAAATTGGCCTTTGTGTCTATCTTCCCTGTAATGGACCAGTATCCTATCCAGGGTATACCCTGCCTTGGGCCTGTTGCTTGCTGGGAAAGACTCTAGATAGACCCCAAGACCCTGACAATGGAAGATATGGCTAGATAAAAGGTTGGATGGATGACTGTTAAATGCAGTAAACAACTGACAGGATCACAAGAGGCACAGCTCCAGTCTTCCATCAGTAAAGCAACACACCACCCCCAAAAAAGCCACATGGCCACTTTATGCACCAGGTTTTTTGCTTTCCTTAGTCTTTAGCTGTTTATTGCCCTGTTGCGCAATCCCAGAATAAGCAAGATCTTATCTTAAAAGTTTTTTTGTAGCCCATATTTACTCATGGAACATTGAACACTGCAGAAAAGTATTTTCTGTGCCTGAAACATTGGCATCAGATGGTTATGAGAGTGAAAACAAAATTCCAAAAGGAGAATCTGGTAGGAAACAGTCTACCCTATTTGTTTTTAAAAGGGCAGAATTCTAACTGCGTAGGATTCTTCAAATTAATTTGCATTATCTGTTTGCAAATATGTGCTCTATACAGATATCTGCTACGAATAGTTGTACGATCCTGATACAGACATAGCAACCATAAAAAAAAACTCCGGACAGTAATTAGGTCTAAATGTACGACAAAAGAACATCAGAAAAGTTATAAAAGAGAAGAGGCATTTTAACCCATCTTTGATTCAGTGTCAATAGCAGTTTAATAATAGATTTAGGTTATCTGAACACACCAGGGAATCTGATTCAAAGCTTGAAGGTTTTCAGTTCCTTCAATTACTCTGTGTATGGTATTACTTTTTGACCAGGTTTTACTCTGCTCTCCCTTCTTTGAACTTGAACCGGTTGCCAGTTCAAATCCTGCAGCTGGCAGAGGAATCCTATTCATGGTTGTTGGGCCCCTGAGCAAGGCCCTTAACCCCAGCTGCTCCAGGGGTGCTACAGTACATAAATGGCTGACCCTGTGCTCTGACCCCAGGCTTCTCTCTCCCTGTCTGTGACTCATGTAGAGCAAGCTGGGGTATGTGAAAAGACAAATCCTTAATGCAAGAAGTTGTATATGGCCAATAAAGTGATCTTATCTAATTTAATCAACCCCAGTCAGTTTAAAGACACAGCTCACATTTGCTTCACATGCTGAATTATTCCTCAGCTAGAGGCTATAGTTTCCCTAACTCAGGGGAAACCAGGGCTGCCTGTCCTGTCCCAGTCACGGTACAGTGCTGTACCTGAAGGGCTGGGTGAACAGGTGGAAGTGAGAGAGGAAGGGAGAAAGAAACGAGTCTGGTGGTGATGACGTCCCGTGAGGATCGGATTGCAGAGAAACCGTTGAGATGCACGCAGATAGCAAAGTTCTCTCTGAGGCCAAGGTTTTGAACGTGTCTCAGCACAAAGAGGTATGGCTCCAGACATACGAGAAAGCATCAAAGTACGGATCTGCTAATCCTGGGAACTGTGTGAGATGCCAGGGAGCAGGTCAGACGGGCTGCTGATGGGTTTGTACGGTATAAAGCTGCAGGATGTGAAATACTTTCCCCCATTTTAATCCTTCCATCCATTTTTAAACCACTTCTGGACAGGATGCCAGTCCATTGCAGAACAGACACCGCCACGCACACTCACACCAGGGCCAATTTTCCCAGAAGCCAATGAAACTACCAACGTGTTTTTGGACTGTGGGAGAAAACTGGAGCACCTGAAGGAAACCCATGCAAATGCAGGCGAACATACAAACTCCCCACAGACAGCACCTCAGGAATTGAACCCAGGGCCCTAGTGTTGTGCAGCAATGGTAACCACTGCACCACCCTTCCACCCCATCCCCTTTAGACCTGTTAGGACCCAAGCTGGAAAGAAAACCCGGAGACACAGCCCTCCAGGACCAGGATTGAAGAAAGAAAATGACTGAAACTGGCAGTCTGTGGACATTGCCGTGTCCGGCTGACGGCTCTGTCCAGCCACTGTGGATGTTGTCGAGACCCTGTTGTCCACTCCACGGATGTCGTGAGAAGAGTAGGACTGTCAGCCCTGATGTCAGGGACCACCTCTGAGAACTACCTTCGAAATTCTGACCACCCAAATTTTCCGTGAGCTAATTAAAAGTAAGGCCAAAAGGTCAGATTGCATACACCACCTTCTGCTGCACTGGAAACTAGATTTATATCGGAGACGGACATAGAATAACTACCTGGATGCCATAGCGCTCTCGAACAGCAGCACGCATGGCCAGGGAGACAGGTGGCACACAGCCTATGCCATCCAGGACTGGCAGACACAGGCACTCCCCAAATTCACTGGTGGTCTTGCAGGCAAAGCAGGGAAAACACCAGAAGGCACAACAGCCTGAAAGAGAAAACAGGGCTAAACGGAACTGTCACGATATTAGTTCCCCCTCCTTAAGGGTGCTCCAGCCCTTTCACTAAGACTTTATTCTCTGCACCTGTTCCCTATCCCCAGCCCACCTTAAAAGCCAGGCGCTGACGCTCATCCGGGCTCTGCATCTGATTTCCATATCGTGCGAGTCCGGGACCTGGAAGCGCCTGGTCCCGTTAAGGTTTTAATCTCAGTTCCCGTTCCTGTTCCCCGTCCGCCGGTTCCGACCCGGCCTTCGTGGTTTTTTAATTCTTGCTCTGATGGATCTCCTGGTTTTGGACTTACCCTTGCGTTTTGGATTTTCCCTAAGGACTACTCTCGGATTGTTCGCCTCGGCCACACCTTCCCCGTGCACCAGCGCACCTTGGACACGCCCCCCTGTCTTCAGCCCCGTTTTCCTGCATGACGTTTCCCTAGTGTTTCCCCCACTCCGTCGGACTGTGTCGTCCGCATAGGGTCCGGAAAGAACTGTTCGTTACAGGAACCACGTTTCACCAACTGCTTACATGCTACTATTCGGTCTGTCACTTATTGTTCAAATCCTGGCAAGCCGTTAATCATTCTAGTTACAATGTTTGTGCAATTCAGTATGCCAGCATCCATCCAGTTCTCTACAGCTCACAGCTGCTGTCATATTAATCGTGGTGTCCAGAATTAGTTTGCCAGATGTAACCTAACAGGGGAGATGTAAATTTCACCGATACAAATACAGTCAGTCATTGAACTAAATTCAGTCAATCTAGTCAAGTCTAGCCAAGGAAGTTAAGAAATACCTGTCTTGGCTCTTATTCTGTATACGGATCAGAAAATAATAAAATCATTAATTGTAATTTATTTATATTTAAGCAATTCAAAGCAAACACAGAATAGCTATTTTATAACCTTCAGATGACACACCTGAAGAGGCTAAAAACACTGGGTTTCTTCTCTCTGCTGTTCAGCATGGAATTAACCTCTGCTTGTTCCTTTGCAGAACACATGCTGATTTCATGTGAATGTCATGTACGTTTTTGTTAAAACAGTGGATTTCATTGATTTAAATCAAGGAGGCATTGACAGAGTTATTAAATCAAGGTGTGTTGCCCTGAGTTGATGTTTTGATTTAATCCTTGATTTGGATGCTGATTTAGGTAAAGACAGGTATTCATCACTGTAAGACACAAAGATAATTTTCTTAAGATTTAAGGCAGACAGACAGCCGAACTCACAGACACCCATGTCTTCACAGCAGTCACATAGTCCAGTGCTCCATTGGCCTGACCAGGCTGGGCTTATGTCTGATGTGACAGCTGTCAGAGGCTGCTGGGTAGTTGCGTATGTCTCCATTCTGACCTCTGACCTGTAAGTGAATGCAAAAATAAGAAAAGTGCATTGCTTTTTGCTTTCCTTTGGAGCTTCGTAATAGTGCTCCTCAATGAAAAAAAAAATGAAAATTTTTTAACTGCAAAATAGAATAACGTTAACAACGTTAATAACAAAATGCCCATTGATAAAATATTTGTAAAGCTGTAGGTCTAACAATAGGGTTTCTGTTGTCCAGATGTGTGGGTCTGACTATCTGAAACTCTGAACAGAAAACAAAACATACTGTATAAAAATATTTCAGTTGATCACAATTGTACTCTTTACAGAAATGCACAAAAAAAGTATTTTATGGTAGCAACAATGCCCATGGCAGCAGAGTGACTAGTTCTTAATTAAATTGTCAATCTGACACAGATTTTGAAAAACATTAATGCTCAAATCGAATTTTTGCCCCCCAAAAGTGTTGTCAAAAGACTAAAAACTGTTTTTTCATTTGCAATTCATTCAATTTTGAACACATTTTAATTAATTCAAGCAATTTGTATCTGTGATCATGAGTTTTATTGGAATGTGCAATATAAGGTAGGTTTTCATTTGAGTAATTCCATGCATAAATTTGATCATTTAGAACACAAACCTTCTTTGTGTTGAACCCATAGATTTCAAGTCAGCAGCTATCCATTCATCTACTGCTTCTTCCAAATCAGGGTCTCCCCAGGGATGCTGGAGCCTGTCCCAGCAAACAACAGGCACAAGGCAGGGTACACCAGGTACCTGGATGGGACACCAGGCCATTGCAGGGTAGACAGACACACACACTCCAGGGCAAAATTCCCCAGAAGCCAATTAACCTACCAGTATGTCCTTGGACTCTGGGAGGAAACAGGAGCACCCAGAGGGAATTTTATTTTTTCCCCCCAAGTAGAAATCAATTTTATGCCTTATCTTTCTGTGGTATACAGTTAAAGCATTTTTGCCTTTCAGTCCTGAGGGAATAAGTGTGCTTTTAAAAGGAAGAATACTCTTACACTGAAAAAAAAATCCTAACCTTACACAAGTGAGCATGTGTGATCTTTATAAACTGTTATGGAGTAAACAGTTTTGTTGATTGTGCTGTTTTAAAACTGGCTCAAACACATTTCCCACTTTGACCCACTAGAAACACATTGTTTGGAAACAGAACTAAACTGAAGCACACAAAGAACCAGCAAGCAGTATTATCAGTTTATTGCTAAACAAAATCCAGTCAAGGTAGATTAATACCAGACTAACACATTCTAGCCCAAGCATAAGGTAAAGCCAGAGAAGTCCGTTCTTTCCCATATGAAAGTTAAAAAGAATTTTTTTACAACAGCACATTATGCAGAAAGTAGAATTTAAGCATGTTAAAATCACAGAAAATCAAAGAAAAACTATAATAAAATTGCATAAGTACTTCAAACCCACCTTGATTGTTTAACACATTACAATATGCAGGGGTTCTCAGCCCTGGTTTTGGGGACCCACATACAAACTTGTTGGTCTTTGTTTCAGAGGAGCTCTCAGTTACACAACTGAACCTTTAACTGACTTAGGAAAGGGGTCTGAGTTGAGCTGTTTGACTGTTTTCAGCTGTTAAACATATTGAAGGCTGCCTTTTAACTCTTGCATTTGATAAGTAAAATAAAATCCCAAACTTTTACATAGAAAAAAAAATTGGCTCCCACTCCCCAACTTTGTATTGGATAAAGCTGTTAGAAAATGTGGGATGCATGTTCCAGTCCAGCAACCTGTGAGGTCAGTGAAGGCTTCATTTGGGTAAATTAAGATCAGTTGGAATGAAACCCAGGACACATGTAGGCCTCCAGGACCAGCACTTGGAGCTCCTAACCTAGATCACCTATGATTTCACCCCCTGCTGATGACCTCAAAGTTCATACCACTCCCTCCCCCCTCCCTGACTATAAAGCATTCAGTACATGAAATGTCCTTGAGAGTTCAAGGTGGGAGTAACGAGGGTCATTTCAGTCAACGGCCAAGATCCTAATGAATGCAACAGAGGGTATTTGGCATAACGTTCCTAACAGCCTAGCTGTGAGGATGAGCTGCCCTCACCCCTTCACCCATTGTGAAGAATCAGCTGGAGAGCCGCAGCAAGGGCCTGACCTGCCTCATAAACGTCTGTTGTAAAATATATATATAGGGCACCGAGCTTGTCAATAGTTAAGAGTTGGGTCTTGATCTCCTGTCCGCAAAACGAGAAGGGCTCCGGAGAAAATGGCCACAGCGGAGCTGATGGAAGGAACCAAGAATGTGAAACAACACATTAAGGTAAAGAAATGCCCTGAGCTGGATGGTATTCTTTCAGTGTACTTCAAGGAAACAGCAGATCTTATTTATGAGTCATTAAACTGTTTCAACAGCACACAAGACAAGGACAGCACCTTACTTTTTTTTTCATTTTCACTGCAGATCCAACCTCTAATTTGTCACTATTCTTAATAACAAATTGGATTGTTAAAAGTAATTTGCTAGTACTGGTTTGATACCTATATAATTAAACTGCAGTACACTGATATAGAATTTGTCAAGTTAGCAATAAGAAATTATTTCTGCCAGTTTCTTTGGAGTAAAAATCTATTAACCGTTTTTTCAGCAGAAGTGTTCCATGCTGCCATATGATTATTTTGTCCGTTTCTTCTGTAATTTCAAAGGAAAATACAATATCCTGGAAAAGGTATTACTATTTCTACACATTTAGAAATCCATATCAATCAATATCCGATCACCATCTTTTAAAAATGGAAGCAAGAAAATCGTACACGTTATATCTAAGAATTTAATATTGGTCTTACCTCCTTGCAGTCAGTGGAATGGAAAACTGAGAGAGCGCGGTTATATTCGCAGCAACAGAAACAGGGTGAAGTCTAATTCCAATGTGAAGGCTTGGTTTTGAATCCAGCCAAAATAACTGCCCCATCACGTCTGACGTACAAATGTTTATGTTTAAGTGGACACAAGGTGGAAATCTTTGAGAAGCAGCTTTTTGACAAACAATGACGTTCTGAAAGTGCAGGCACCCATGAAGGTCGTTTAATGCTGAGTTATCTTTTTTTCCATTTTCACATGCCGCGCCCTGACCCTGTCGTGAAGGAAATTGTTGAAATTGTCTGTTCTTTCCACACAAAACTTTTTTACGGCAGTTATCGTGATTGAAAAGAGGGATACCTGTGCATAGTACAGGACAATATCTTCAGGCGCTTAGGCAGTTAGAGTTCCATCCATTTTCTATCGAACCAATTCAGGGTCTCAATGAAGGTGGAGTCTGTCCCGCCATGGAACGGGCACAAAGCAGGTTACACCCTGGCTGCGACGCCAGTCTTTCACTGGCAATAAGTTATTTAACGAACAGTGTGATTTTTGAGAAAGAAAATATTTAGCAATTGTTTATGCAAAAAAAAGCTGCAAATGGAGCTGTCTTTAAAATGTAGTGTCTTTATATTTGATTAAAGTTCGTGTGAAAACCATTTTTCTGTTCCATAGTAAACCTAGTGCTTTGCTTGAGTGTTTGGAACTTACATTTAAAGAGAAAATCAAAATGAATTGGGCGTTTTGTGCTTTGCTTTACTTGTAAACCTTTGTATTTAGAAATCCAAAGTTCATTGTTTCCATTTTTTAATGGTATTTCTCATGTACGTCTTGCTAAGAATCAATCCTGTGGCAGGGCAAACTCCAGAATTATCTTGGTCTCTCCTCCTTTTTATATGACGTCACTCCATGAAAATGATATAAATCGAACCAGAAATGAATCAATTACAGTAAGGTTGTCACGATAGTAGTGGGTTTTTTGTCTAATTTTTATGCTTTTTTATTGCAACATAAAAATATATTGTAACGCTTACGGCCGACAAGCACTGTGTGTAAGAGCCGGCGTACCAGAGCAGGTGACGTCACCGCCCTTCCCTGTGATAGCAGGACTACAGCTACCGGGCAGTAGAGAGATCTCTCTTTAGCTCACAGGGCTAGGTCACTGCAGAGAGACGCGGAAGTCCCGGGTTCGAGCCCCGGACGGTGCAGGGGCCGACCAGATGCGGCAAGGGCGCCCGCCTGAGCCCCCGTTCCGTTACAATATACAGTACGCAGAACAGTGCATATAACATCATCAGGGGTACATAATACAGTTGCATTGTACAAAAAGGTAAAGATGAGATGCATACAGATACAATGTTCATACACTTAGAAATAATCTGGGGATACATGCTCTTATGTCTTTTTTTAATTACTCAAATGTGGGTCTCTTCCCAGAAAGTTTAATTTTATGTACAGTATATGATAACGCGCTAGTACTGTATAATGATTCATTTCTTTGTCTAAAATGTGCCTCCTGTCAGAGCGAAATCAAATCGAGTAATGTGAGAATTACATAACTTCATGACACCTCAACGTGACCCTCAAATCGTGGCTTAAAAAAAAAAACCCAAGGCATATTGTTTCATTGCGTTGGCAAATTCAAGTCGTATTTTGACTGAAACTAAATTAAATGAAAAGCTTAGATGTCTTTTAAAAAGATCTAAAAGAAAGATAACAGATGTGGATGAGGGCATATTTGTCTAATTGTGTGTCGTGGGTTGATAAGTGAATATCAGGTTGCGCTGTGCTATTCTCCATTCGTTAGAGTAATACATATCGAACAATGAACAATGACGGGGCTTGTTTAGGACACAACAAATCACACTGACTGAAATATCCTGGAGTGTTTAGAATTGAAATCCTACACAAACTGGCCGATTTTCAGACCAAACAAATGTATTTGCTATTACCGTCTACATCATGACACTTGCTTAAAGAATGATAATTCTTTATTTTATGTGTTGTCTTTCCAATACATTTCAAAGGCTTTCAAAATAAAATAATTTTACTTACAGTATAATTATGATTTAAGAATCTCATAGCACTGTACAATAAAATACATTTAATATATCAAATATATATATGCATTAAAGTACCAAAATTAGAATGTCAGACACTGTCACATCAGTCACGTAATAATGGAACAGAATGTCAACAAACTTTTCCCTTTGATGGCCCTGTACCGTTACCTACAACATCTGAGTATCTGGCATTTTCTATTGCAGTCCTCCATTCAACCTATTCCGGTAACCAACGTGTACAAGGCAGGATACAGGTAGATAGCCACAAAAACACACAATCTAACACCAGAGCCATTTTTCCCAGAAGTCAATTAACCTAGCAGTGATGTAATTAGGCACATGTTAGTTAAGTCCAGTGATTTCCATTCTTAAAGCCAGGTGGAGTCTTCCTGGGGAAGGTTTTTCCAGACTGGCTTTCATGAAAGCAGGAGTCCTCATGTAGTGACAGGTGAGGAGCATTTTGGACCTTTTTGAGCATTTTGTTGGTAATGTCGAGTTGTCAGATGCGTGGAGGAGTCATGTTTGAAAGGATGTGGAGCCTGAGGAAGGATTTTTCCTTTCCAAGATTCTGTAGGAGGTCCCACATACTGTATCTCTATGCAGAGTTTGTAACCATAACCCCAAACTAAAATGTGTACCCCAAACCCTGTTTCTTACTCACATGTCTTAGGCCCTTATCCTACTTCACAAACTGAAATGGTATAGTTATAGATGAGTATACCTATACAGGTTGCGCATTCAAATAAGTCCTGCAGAGTTTAAGAGTGGAAAGACAAACCCCATGCCACAGGGATATCACAGAACACTGAAAGGATGCAGTGGAGATTGTCCAGGTGCTCGTTGAACATTTCTGGGACCTTGACTGTATTGTCTGGGATCTGGCAGCAATGGGACCCGACGTGACTAACTTTCCTGTAACCCTAGAACATCTCTTGTGTGGAAACTTATTAAAACAAAAAATATTTGTTGTTTACTTCACCTGGAGAGGATTCTGTGTCATTTCTTGGTCAGATGCCTATTGGTAGTTTGCAAGTTCAATTTTGTTTCATGGCTAGATGTCATTCTACTTCTTTAAAACACCAGGGCACCATTTTGTTGCATCCTCTCTTTTTCACTTCTAGGTACTGTGATTTCCTTCTGTGCTGTTTGGTTCTACATGGCTCTGTTTTTTAAGCCATGTGGTCACTTATATTGCTGCCATAAACATGTTTGTGTTGAGACCAAGAAGTCTGGCTAAAGCAGAATTTTAATCGAGAGGCTGAGCAGTAAATGCCAGTTTGGTCAAAGAATGGGTAAAAAAAGCAGTTAACAGGTAACTATCCTTCTTACCTTCCCCTTTTTACCCTTTCTACAAATTTTCAGAAGGGATGTTTTACACAGGTGCCACAGTGGTTAGCATTGCTACCTTAAAGTGCTGGGATCCTGGGTTCAAATCCTGGAGTGCTGTTTGTGTGGAGTTTGTATGTTCTCCCAGTGTCCATGTGGATTTCCTCCATGTGCTCCAGATTCCTCACATAGTCCTAACATGTACTAACAGGACAATGGGGTTGTGGGAAAATTGGCCTCGGTGTGAGTGTGTGTGTCTGTGTATGCCCTACTATGGACTGGCATGGACTGGGTTGCTTGCTGGGATAGGCTCTGGCTCCTCCATTATCCTGTCAAGATTAATATGGTTAGAAAATGGATGGATGTTTTACATATCGTGTAAGTTTTAATAGGCTTATTCAAATTCTCCTTCAGGCCCACAAACCTTCTTGGTTTTCATTCCAGTTGAGCTGGAGCATAACATAATCGAAGCCTTAACAATACTTAATAATCTGGCTCCATCATACATGTCTGAACTTCTTTACGTTTACACTCCCTTCTCTAGACTCTGTTCTGTTGCTCTCTGTACCCAGGACTAAACCTCTGACTTTTGGGGATCAATCTTTTTCTGTCACTGCTACTTTGTTATTGGATGCCCTTCCTCCAGCTTTCTGAAAGGTAGATTCTTAGTGTGTTATTGTTACACACAAGTGTCCTAGGGTTTGGAAAAGAGCTTTATAAAGTATTTTTATTATTATCCTATCCTGTAATAGAACATAAACTTTTTCACATCCAATAACAGAACATGTGGATCCATACTTGCACAAATTAAATCTTCAGTAATCTTACTACAAGTGCAATAGTCATGCAAAAGACATTTATAAAGTTAAACATAGTGTATTCTTTAAAGGAACAAGTAAAGGTTTATTCCATGCTGAAAAGAGAAGAAAGGAAACAGCTGTGGAGCCTTCTTCTGGTATATAGTGAATTCCTTATTTGTTTTTTGAGCATGAATACAACATTGTTTTAGACTTTCCATTTTCATTGCACATTCTACATTACATAGAGTAATATTTTATTGTCTCATAATATCACAACATGTCAACACATAACCTTTATACAGAAAATACAATATTACAGTATCTGTGGTGGCTTCATGAGGCTGAGAGTTACTCTCTCCTGATTATTCTAGTGAAACTCTGTAGGATTTAGACACATGTACACACCCAAGCAAGCTAACTTCAACCTGAGGAGGACGTGAGGGTTTGTTCACTTTAGTCTGGCTCTACAATAGGGAAATATGAAATTGCACATCGATTTTCACATTAAAACCAGAAACCACATAAAAAAGAAATGAAATGTAACATAAAGACCAATAATGTGTCTAACTCAACATTGGATTTATATACTAATATACAACTGTATGTGCTCCCTCAAGAACCTAATAGTGATCAATGTTTGAGTACGTAGTTTCTTCCCTTTGTATTAACTCTACAGTATGTAGTTGCATGGTTTAACGAGTTATTCATTATAAAAGATATATTGCTTTTCCACTTGTAATTACAGAAGGCCCAGTCAACACCAAAGTCATTTAGCAATTACAAACAAATTGTAAAGCAAAGCAGAGGAAAAATGTATGTTTTGTGCTCTTGAATAATAATCTCAATGTAAACTATCCTCAACTACAGTATTTGGTTTGAATTATGCACAAGATTAAATGTTGCACTAGTACAAAAATGTCATTTTTCAACTCTAATGGACTGCAGATTGTACAGTATGTGAAGCTGTTTCCCATCGCAGTGCCCAAAGTGTAAAAATCTCGAGGAGCAGCCCTTTATAGTGCATTAGCTGGTGTTGTATTTCTACTGTAAATGCCGTCCAGGGGGGAATCTTCTCTGGACAGGGGTAGGGGGAGAAGTGAGTTGAAGAAATTATCTTGCAGTTTCTTGCATGCATTTTGAAAGTCAGTGCTCAGCTTCTTGTTGAGGACTGTGCAATGAGAGAGTCAGAGGACAAAACATGAGATTTAATTCTGTAAAGGCCAATCTCACATATTCAGGACAAAACGTAACCTGTT